TTTTTTTTTTTTTTTGGTTTCAGTTATGAAATAAAAAATGGTCTCCAAATACTGTCATATTAGCCCTTGTATAAGTCCATTATCTTCACAAACCATGAAGAAGTTCAGCAGATAGTTTTCATAATTATAACTTTCAAAAACAAGTCAAGATCTTATCACCTGATAATTTAATGGTCACTGCTTTGCAATATTAAGATTTCATCATATATCCCATCACCAGGGTGCACAAAAAAAATAAAAATAAATAAATAATAATAAATATATAAATAAAATGAAAAAAAGTCAAAAGAAATCAATTAATCGTTTGAACAATTATCTCATCATGATGAATTTCTTGACGTCAAGATTAACTTATTAATAAATAAGCTTAAATAAAAATAAAAAAAAGAAGCTACCACAAGCAAATTCATGACTTTGATAGAACAGTGAAAGACACGAGCCAATAAAATCCATTGCAATCATTTTTTTCGAAGAAACTCATACAAAGACAAAATTATAGGTCATAACTTACCTTATCTTCGTCAAATTCCCAAAAATTCCTAGAAACTCCATTTTCTGAAGAGCTTTCCGCTATTTTCCTATTGCCTTCTGAGTTATTTGCTGCAAAAATGGAAAGAGAAAGAAGAAAAACAGCCACAAATCTCGATCTTCCAGCATCCATTGATTCTTTGATGATTACTAGCCCTTTTCCATGGTCCAATCCTTCTTAATTCATTGAATAAATGCAAAAACACACATAGCTATAATATATGACAGCTATGCATGCACATACAATGTTTTTCCTTACAATTTCAGCCCCAATTCAATGCCACAAAAAATCAGAGAAAATATTTAAATCAAATAAAAACAACAGAATTCAGAAGAATTCAATGCAAAAACATGTGAAAATACGTTCTTTTGGCCTCAATTTTTTCCCATCCAACGTCACAAAATCCCCCACAATGTACGCATGTATCACTCAGTATTCTGAATCTTCAATGCAAATGCAACCCAGAAAAAGAACCCATAAATTTATTTTTCATTTTGAGGTGTCAGTTTTTTCCTTAAAAAATGAAGAAATATTTAACAATAAACAGGTTATATTAAAAGGGAAAAAATAGGTAAGATTATTCCGAAAATGAATAAATGAAATATAATCTTGAAACAAAAATCAACGGGTTCCTGAAAGCCTTTTGAAAAATAGAATTTTATAGGGAGTTTTGTACGTTGGAACGTTTTAGTTTTTCCAGAGTCAAAAAGGAGAGAAACCGGAAAATGACCAAGAAAAAAAAAAAAAAAAAAAAAAAAAAAAAGAAAGAAAGAAAAGAAAGAAACGTGCAAAGAACTACAGAGAGAGAGGGGGGAGGGAGGGAGAGAGAGAGAGAGAGAGGGGAGAGGAGATTATTTTGGCTTTTTTATTATTAAAAAATGGGTTATTTATGCCGGAAAATATATTTTAGGCCCTTAATGATTGAAAATGATTAAATAAAGAGAAAAATCATAACTCCCTTATTTAACACTACAATTTCAAAAGGGAAAATTGTAGCGGGTCCCAAACCTTTCAATTTATTCAAACTATATCAAAACCTTTTATTTTTTCAATCAAAGTCCCAAACTTTTATCTTCATCTGCAGCAAAGGACAATAGATAGAATCCGTCCATTTTTACCATATATAATAAATTAAAATAAAAATAAAAATGTATTCATCTTTTTCAAACCCTCATTCCCACCCCCAAAATAAAAAGTTAGAACCCGGTCAACCATCGCTACCAATCAACACGCCATTGCATTGGGCAACCATCACCACTACCATAGCATCGTCCAACGCGACCCACACAATTTTCCAATAAGCAACAATTTTGCCCAACATCTATAAGAAAATGCTACTCAATGAGTAGGATTTTGATATGGCTTCTTAAGATACATTTATTGTACCCTTAAATATTAAAGCATCATTTTTTTTTTCTCTTTCAAGTATTGAAATATGGTAATAGGCTCTAAGACAACTTTTGAATTTGTACTCCTCCAAGAACATATTTGATAGGTGATATTAGATGAAAATAATAATTGTCTACGTTGACTAACAAGGCGAATACTATTCCATAAGTACTCTACATAAAGTATCTAAATACACATTCTATATTTTCTTCCAAGTCTATGTACCAAAAATTCATACTAATTCTCACATCGGAGGTACAACGGGGTGAAAGCCCCAACCTCATTTCGTAGGCAGCATTTGTTCATTGGAGTAGCTGAAACACCTTGCGCCGCTAGGAGGGCATGAAGGTTTGTTTCATAACTATTCCATTGGCGCCGTTTGTGGGAAGTCACCGAACTGAAAAGCTATATCAAGATGACAAATAAGGAGTGATACACGCTGGTTCAGGAATACGGTGGAGACAGAGACAAAATCAGTCACAAGGGGTCACGATTCGTAATCACCTTCACAGTATGTAATGTAGAGCCAATTTAGTGCTCTGGAGACCCAGTTGGCAGGAAAAGTCAGTTGCAGAGAGCTACGGTCCCTCTGTCGAGCCCGAGGGAAGTCATGCCTCAAGAGACAGCTATGGTTATCCTACCCATCATTTATCTAGCAACAGGAGATTTTGGGGCTCCAACAGTCATAGTTCGGCAGCTCTCATGGCTGACAATGGACTTAGAATAGAAGATGAAGGAAATGATGGTCCAGAAGCTAGACGATGCATTATCCAAGAGGAATGATAGACGTAGGCAAGTGATTTTGGAAGAAGACCTATTTGCATTAGAGATCATGGCGATCCATCTATATAAAGGCTTTAAACAAC